AGGTATAGTTCACTTAATAGGAGCTAACTAGCTCTGTAGTTCTCACTGATCACACGCTGATTACAGGTCGAGTTTCTTTTAGCGTTGAAGTTATATAATATCTTCTTAAAAGTACTAATGTCTGATATGAATCCACTGAAGCTAAATGATTTATAATGTTCGAAATTTATAAACGTTCCTGGTCAATATATCTGAAGTTACCCGATTAATAAGTGTTATTCACAATTATAACTTCCGAGGTTTATAGTATACCAACTATAGCAAACCAATAACAGATACTGTTTTTTGGCGCGGCGCGTTTGTTATATTTATAGGCGTGGGGAGAGTTTCTCGAAAATTGAGATTACGTAACAATACAAAGCTATACTAGCGTTTACATGCACACATATATTGTTGATTCTTACACTTGATAATCTTCTACAACGTTAGAGAATAAGCCGGAGTTTCGCAATACACATTTAACGGTATACATTATGTACATTTCTAAATATAGATTTAATTTAAACAAACATCGATATTAAAATAAATATATAATTATAAATCCGTCACACATATTTATATTTTAATTAACATAATACTGAGCGAAATGGGATGAACATAAAAACAAAAGCACGATGCTGGTTCGACGAAGGGTTTCTTGATCATCCTGACAATGATTTTTGACGAAGTATAAGCCAGTCAAAGCATAATTGAATGAATGTTGTTTTCTATCAGAAATTAAATAAGGATGTCCTCACTTGCTGACTTAATTCAACGTAGAAAACAAAAAAGTAGTCCACTTGAAACTTTTCGAACACTGACCCAATATGTAAATCTTTGTTCCCTTCATCCTGAGTCTTATCCTATAAACGTTCATGAGATTCCAACACAAAGTTATGACAATGTTTCTAGGAAGCTTGATGACTGTGAAAACGTGTATGAATGAAAATATATCATCGTCATTAAAATAATGAAATATTTTATTAATCAGAAACAAAGAAAAAACACAGACATGCATAGTTTAAAGCATTACCTCTTTCTTTATCTAGATAGCCCTCACCGGTAAATCAGCAGGATTACTACGCCAAAAATTGTGTTTCCATGGATGTGGTGGGTAGCGCACAGATAGCCCTTTGTTATGCACAAAGCTACACACTATTTTAAAAGTATTTCAAACATTTCTCAACTAAAGTTAAATGGGACAATAGTGGCTGAAAAACAAACTTGAAAAATTAAGCCGCTAATATAAGTATTTAATAAAATATAATGAGAAATGGTCTTACTGTAATTGTATGTCCTTTGCGCTTAACAACAACCAAATAAAGAAACAAAGACATTCTCTAGGCAAGCGTGACAGTATGACACGAACCACAATTGGCCTAGGGAATCTGGAAAAGTAAGATCAGAAAAGGACCACGAATTTGAGGAGCTGAAATGGGAATATTTTAACGGTAAACTTTTCAAAGATCTGCTTAATAACTCCACTTTATATGTGGTACGTTGAAACACCTCACTAATTCGACAGTTTGCTTACTTGTGGAGTTGAGATATATGTTGTAAAAACAGAAAACTGTATTTCTATCTGAGAAAACCCAAAAGTTAAGAACTGAAAAATAGACAATGAGAAGTAGCGACTACTGTATTAATCTACGCAATTTATACAATGGCATTATGAAGGCCCTGAAACAAAAATATTTTGCTTCTCCCCCCCCCCACCTACCACCCACAGCTTAATCCTATTAATCTTGCGTAAATAAAGCAATACATTAACTTATAACATAAATAAAATCAAATCATGTTTTTAGTTGTTTCTTATAATATTATAACATGGATGTGGGGTTTGTTTGTTTGTTTTTGAATTTCGCGCAAAGCTACACGAGGGCTATCTGCGCTAGCCGTCCCTAATTTAGCAGTGTAAGACTAGAGGGAAAGCATCTAGTCATCACCACCCACCGCCAACTCTTGGCCTACTCTTTTACCAACGAATAGTGGGATTGACCGTCACATTATAACGCCCCCACGGCGTAAAGGGCGAGCATGTTTGGTGTGACGGGGATTCGAACCCGCGACCCGCAGACTGCGAGTCGAGTACCCTAACCACCTGGCCGTGCCGGGCCAAGATGTGGGGTCTAAGATCCTGTTTATAGGTAAGTTACATCTGTGCATCAATTGGGTCCCAAAAGTGTTAATTTTGTGTATCTTTCAAGTATGAATATACGAGTTTGAACTGAGTATAACCAGATGGGCCCCTGGGCACAAAA